ATGACTAAATTGCATTTTTAATTTCCATCCAATGTGCTCTAGATGTGCATCAATCTCAATTACCTTTTTCTCAAGTAAAGCCATGCTAGTCTCAATTTTGTTGATTTTTTTGATATTGCTTCAATACTAACGGTTAAGAAACCGTTATACATATCTTGCGCACTTTAACTAATGAATCTCTTCCTCATGGTCTCTTCCTTCCTCTTCAAATCCATCTCCCATGAAGACATCTTCTCAAAATCTTTCTCTCTCTTAGACTTTTAGAGCTAAAAATGATCCGGGGTGAAATTCCTTTACAAAACCCTTCTATTTATAGGCTTAAATTCCTCTAGTAACTCCTATATTCCTCAAGTAACTCCTATACACATCCTAAAACTACCTTGGCACGTTTTAGTCAACCAATTGGTTGTTAAACCTTCTAGAATCTAAATTTCACACATGGTTTTTAACTACCGGGCTTAAGTCCAGTGCACATTTTTGCACTAGTCAACTTAACGTCCAAATCATTTTAAAATGTCTAGATCACTAAATAAAGTCTTAAAATCAATACTAACACATAATAGTCTCAAAACTACTATCCCAAATTTTCTTAATCTCACATAGACAACATTCAAAACAAAATACACTGATAACTATGGGTTGCCTTCGATAAAGCGCTTGGTTTAAAGTCGTCAGCCCGACGTAACCAGTGCTTATTCTGATTAGCCCAACAACATTCGATCGTTAAATTTATGCTTATCCCCTACTAAATACAGTTTAAGTCTCTGACCATTCACTTTAACTACTTTTCACTTTAAATACTTTCAATACTTTCTCAGTTTTAAGATCTTTAATATCCACAGCTCCATAAGGATAAACTTTTATTACAACAAATGGGCCCATCCACCTGGACTTAAGTTTGTCTGGAAATAATCTTAACCTTGGATTATATAGCAATACTTGTTACCCTGACTGAAAATTTTTAGTAAGAATCCTTTGATCATGTCACATCTTTATCTTTTCTATGTAAATCTTAGCACTCTCGTAAGATTCATTCTTTATCTTTTCAAGCTCATTTAATTGCAATAATCTTCTCTCAGTGACATCTTTTAAATTATAATTGAACTCTTTAATCGCCCAACATGCTTTATGCTCAAGTTCAACTGATAAGTAACAAGCTTTCCTAAATATTAGCTTATATGGGGAAATTCTTATAGGAGTTCTGTATGCAGTTCTATAAGCCCACAAAGCATAGTCAAGTTTGACTGACCAATCCATTTTTATTGGATTTACAGATTTTTCATAATTCATTTAATTTTAAGATTGGATAATTCAATTAAACCACTTGTCTGAGGATGATAAGCAATAACAATTCTATGATTTATATGATATTTCTTTAATAATTTCTCCATTATGGTATTTCTGAAATGTCTTCTCCCATCAGTTATGATAACTCTTGGCATCCCAAATCTACAAAATATGTTTATTTTCAAAAATTTTGCAACACTTTGAGCATCACATCGAGATAAAACAACTGTTTTTTATCCATTTGGATACATAGTCCACCACTAACAGTATATATAAATTTCTGAAAGATGGTATAAATGGTCCATGAAATATAATCCACAGACATCAAATATTTCAAGTTCTAGCATATAATTGAGGGGCATCTCATTTCTTCTAGAAATATTGCTTACTCGTTGGCATCTATGACAAGTTTTGGTACATTCATTAACATCTCTAAAAATAGTAGGCCAATAGAATCCAGATTGTAAAATTTTGTATGTTATTTTATCAACACTAAAATGTCCCCCAAATTCATAATTATGAAATTTTTGGATAATTTCATAAGTTTCTTCTAATGGTACACATCTTCAAATAATAAGATCATTTCCTTATTTAAATAAAAATGGGTTATCCCAAAAAGAAAGTTCTTCTATTAGTATGTCATTCCTAGGACTGTAAACGAGCCGAGCCTGAGCGAGCTCAGTATTGGCTCGTGTTCGGCTCGTTCGAAATCAGCTCGTGTTCGAAATGACTCGTGAACAATGTGTTCGTGTTCCGCTCGAAAATGATAATCGTGTTCGTGTCCGGCACGTGTTCAGCTCGAAATTAGCTCGTTATAATATTAAATTTTTATAATAATTTATTTTTTTTTAAAAAAAGTAATAATAAATTTTTATTAAAACTGTTTGTACTAACAACTTAATTCAAAACATATTTGAAGAATAAATTTCTAGAAAAAATTGCAAACCAAATTTTAAAAAAAAAATATTAATACTTTTTTACCCAATTTTACAAAATACAAACTTCATTACAAATTTTACAATTTACAAATTAAACAAAAAGATGAAAATTTACAAAATACAAACTTTTACAAAAACTTTAATACAAATTTACAAAACTTTACACAAAGAATATTAATTTCTTTTTTACAAAATTTTACCGTGTTCCGCTCGAAAATGATAATCGTGTTCGTGTCCGGCACGTGTTCAGCTCGAAATTAGCTCGTTATAATATTAAATTTTTATAATAATTTATTTTTTCTTAAAAAAATTAATAATAAATTTTTATTTTCCTCCAGTCGACAGTCTCTTCAAATTAGGATCCATCTTGATTGCAGGTTTATCAGTTTTCTTTGAGGAGCTCATGGTAGTACACACCTTTTACTGCTTCTTATTTCTGGTAAGCTGTTCTTCAAGCTTCACGTTCTAAAAGGCATCAAGATTGTTCCACGTGATCAATGAAAAAAATGAGTCCTGTAAATATAGAGTAATGACTCCAAAAGACCAATGCATTAGAAGAGATGAATAAAAACTGATAAGTCAAAATAATGAGTCCTTTATTTATATACTAAGGATCAAATGCACTTACAAATTTTTTCATGCCCATTATCTATTCAGGCACCAAAAACATTTCATAATTTTACAGCAGTTACTTGAATGAAACATTCCAAAGTTACAGCCTTCTCCAATGTTACAACCGAAACTTCATAAACGTTCCAAAGTTACAGTAACTTAATAAACATTCCAAATAAATAGCAGTTACTTGAATGAACATTCCAAAGTTACTTCAAGTTTTCTCCAAAGTTACAACCGTAACTTGAGAAAAAAATCCAAAGTTACAGTAACTTAATAAACATTCCAAATAAACAACAGTTAAACAACAATGAAACGTTCCAAAGCCATCTTGAGTTACTTCAAGTTACAACCTTCTCCAAAGTTACAACCGTAACTTGAGAAAAATTCCAAAGTTACAATAGCTTCCTAATAAACAGCCTTCTCCAAAGTTACAGTCGTAACTTGATAAAAATTCCAAAGTTACAGTAACCTAATCAACATTCCAAATAAACAGCAGTTAAACAACAATAAAACATTCCAAAGCCATGTTCAGTTACTTCAAGTTAGAGCCTTCTCCAAACATTCCAAAGCCATGTTCCCATGTTCAGTTACTTCAAGTTAGAGCCTTCTCCAAAGTTACAGCCGTAACTTGATAAAAATTCCAAAGTTATAGCAGCTTCCTAATAAACAGCCTTCTCCAACGTTACAACCGTAACTTCATAAAAATTCCAAAGTTACAGTAACCTAATAAACATTCCAAATAAATAACAGTTAAACAACAATGAAACATTCCAAAGCCATGTTCAGTTACTTCAAGTTAGAGCCTTCTCCAAAGTTACAACCGTAACTTGATAAAAATTCCAAAGTTATAGCAGCTTCCTAATAAACAACCTTCTCCAAAGTTATAGCCGCAACTTGTTCATAGACAAAAATAAGATACAAATACTTAAATTTGCAATGTTCGAGAAAGCAAAATATCACACCACCGTAATGGAGACCTTGACAGTCTTGATCACTGTTGCTGCATCCGGAGCTATGAAGCCTCCTCCACACCTTTCAATAATACAAATATATAATTTGGTAAATTATATCCTTTTTAACCTGATGTGTAAACAACCCATTTTGGTCTATCACTTAAAATGCAATTAGCTTATTGTGGTCTATCATCGAAATGATGGTTCATTTAAAAGAAGGAACAAGACTTCCATCTTGTAAAAGCTATCATCATAAATAATTTGCATTGAGTACTTTACATAAAAACTAGGCTTTCTAATAAACATTCCAAATAAACAGCAGTTAAACAATACCTTGATAAAAGTTTCCAAAGTTATGCCGCATAATTTTATATTCTTATCTTAAAATGGTTGCAAACTTGTGTTGCCTTCCAAAATTAAGAGTAAGAATAATCATTTACGATAGCTTTTCATATTTTTCTCCTAAAATGGTTGCAAACATGAGTTTCCTTCCAAAATTAAGAGTGAAGAACAACTTCCATAATGCATTAGAACCTAATGGGACATTGAAAGAAAGTAAAGAACAACTTTCATAATGCATTAGAACCTAATTATGGCCATCTGTAATTAAGGCCATCTGTAAAAATGAATGCTTTGTAAAGAACAACTTCCAGAATGCATCAAAGACTGTTTTCTCAAGAGGTTCCAGAAAATTCATTTGGAAAGCCATAGTACAAAATTAATTTGGAAAGGCATAGTAACATTTCCAAAAAAGCATAATTCTGGAAGTTCAGCAAACATGTATGAGCAATTTGATATAAACCAATTTGACATAAACTTCAGCAAACATCTCTGAGTTACCATAAAATGTTAATAAATTGCATCAAGCCTAATTAATTTGTAAGAACTACATGCATATTGACATAAAATGTTAACAATAATTTCCTCGGGTAAAGCAAACATCATGTAATTCTTCGGGTAATAACAATTCGGGTAAAGCAAACATCATGTAATTCTTCGGGTAATAGCAATTCACCAAACATCATTTCCTCCTTCCCCTCTATTTACTTGGGTAAAGCTACTTCAAGCTGTTCCCCTTCCATTAGTTCTTGCTGGTAGGAAAGATATATCAATATCAATTTTAAGATGAAAAAGAACATATACCATACAAGCTAATTATTGAGAGAGTTACCATAGGTGTTTTCGAATGAGTGGTGGACGATCTAATCTAACTAGACGAGCATACTAATGCACTCACTGTTTTTGACGAAAGTGAACTTCTATAGTCATTTAGAACTCTTCCACCAATACTAAATGCAGATTCAGAGGAAACTATTGTTATTAGAACCGATAATATATCCCTAGCCATTTTCGATAAGCAAGGATACTTGAGAGTGTTCAACTTCCACGAATCAAGAATATCAAAATGTTCAGTATTGGCCAAAAAAAGACCCTCTTCGAGATAGACTTGTAAATCTGATTTTGATGGTTGAATGGAACCAGATGAAAGAACATAATCAGTAAATGCAAGCATGCAATCATAACTTTGTGAATTAACCGAATCACTTTGCAACTCCAAAGAAACATTGCCAATTGCGGAACTAGAACTAGCAATATTGCTTGCATACGTATTGTAAATTTGCAACATAACATCCTCAACTTGTTTAATTTTGGAGTCTAATTCAACAGGTGTGTACATCTTGCTAAAAGTAAAATGTATGAACTTCATTTTCCAACGAGGATCCAAGAGAGCTGAAACAGACATTAGGAGATTGCAATCACCCCAATATTTATCAAATTTAACTCTCATAGCAAAAGCCATGTTCCTCATATAATCATCGGAGGATGTCGACTCATCCAACAACAATTTATTATTTGAAAAACAACAGGTAAAAAAATATTTGAGGTCGGGTAGGAAGAACCTGAAATCATTTTTTGTTATGTTAATTAAAACAATAAAGTTCATTATATGCATAAAATCGTAAAAAATCACAATTAAGGTTCTGTAGAAAGAACCTGGAATCGTTTTTGTCACATTATTAAAAATAACGAGAAATTTTCTGATTTTGTCATATTTCTTCCAATCTAAATCTGAAGGCAACCAACTGAAATTATTATCTCGATTTGCATAGTAAGCAAATACCTGCCAAAAAACAAAAGCAGATTCTAGCATTAGGAATGTAGAGTTCCATCTTGTTGGGACATCGATGCATAAACTCTTTGATGTTGATTTCCCTAATTGTCTAGATATTTCAACAAACTTATGTAACCTTCCCGGTGACTTCTTCAGATATTTGATAGACTCTCTAATGTTATGAATGATGTCATTAATTTCTATCAAACCAAATTGCACCATAATATTCAATATATGTGCACAACAGCGAACATGAAAGAAATATCCTTTAAAATGCAATTTCCCTCTTGTCATAAAATTAGATTGGAGCAAACTAGCAGCAACATCATTATTACTAGCATTATCTAAAGTGATAGTACATACTTTGTCCTGTATCTTCCACTCTAACAAGCAATCACAAATGACATCACAAATGAATGTGCCAGTATGAGGCGGATCCAATTCAATGAAATTAATAATTCGTTTTTGCATCTTCCAATTATGATCAATGTAATGAGCAGTTAAACACATATATCCAATTGTTTGATTGGAAGTCCAACAATCAAAGGTTAATGAAAACCTGTGAATATCCCTAAATTGCTTTTTGAGCTTCTCTTTTTCGATCTCATAAAGTTTCATGCAATCAGTTTTTATTGTGTTCCTTGAAACTTTCTCATAATTAGGGTTTAAGGACTTCAATAAAATGTTAAACCATGTATGCTCAACAATATTAAAAGGATACTCATGCACTATAATCATTTTGGAGATTATCTCTCTAATCTTGTGTTGATCATAATTTTTTGAATTGTGAAAAACTGGAATCTCAACATCTGCATCAAAATCAGTTGGCATAAAATTCAACAATTTTTGTCTTTTTTCGGCAAGACCAACCACTTCCTTATTTTTAGCTTTGATTTTTCCACATTCCCTCACATGACATAGAGGTTGAGAAGTAGTTCCTGTTTTAGATTTTTGAAATTTTGTTCGACAGCAAATGCACTGCCAAAAAGTAGTTTGTATCCCTTTAATTGGAAAGATTGCCTCAACAAAATACTCCCACACTGTTGACTTCCTCTTCCTACCCTTCTTATTAAGGACTTCTTCACTGCTATTATCAATGACAACTTGAGGTAAAACTTCTGGCTCTGTACTTGGTAAATTATGAATGGCAATATCGTTGCTATTCTGAGCTTCTGGTAGCAACTGATTGTTGAATGAATCTGATTGTGATAGATGTAATTCGGACATATTTGCACTTGCACACTAACTGAAATCAAAACTACGAAATTAGTACTAAGAATTATGTTCTTGTAAGAATTATGTTATTCTAGAATATCAAAATGACAATATGACAAACTCATAAATGTGAAGACAAATCAATCATTGTTGAGCAAAATTTGTAATTAGGGAACTCATTACAACTGAATAAGCTATGTTGGAAGCTCATCTTTAAAACATAAAGACACATTTCAAATATACATCAGATGGAAACTCATCTTTAAAACAACAACAAAGCTAGTCATTAAAACAACCAAGAAAAAAGAGTGCTTGGCACATAAAGCATCAAAATAGGTAGTCATTTCTCAACTTATAACTATTGGAGAGCATCATATAGTCATTTCTCAATTTATGCACAACAAGAGTCAAAACAGCAAGTCACAAGAGCTTTGAAATATTCCCCAAACCAACAAAATTGGACAGCTCATTTCTCATGCATACCTAAGATGTCATTCTAAATCAATAAAGCCTACAACAGTAGAGCAGATTCAACAGAATATAATGCATAAGATAAAGATAATAATAGTTCCGAGAAGGAGTAGTGCATATACATAAATCTAAATGTGTTGACCTCACTAAATACAAAAGCCCTAATTTCAACAGAAGCCAACAGTGCCGAGAAGCAAGAATTTAGCATTCAAGTATTTACAAAACTTGAGTATTTGCAGAACTTGACCTCAAGGCTGATCTACATAACTAGATTATAAAATCAAGTATTCATCTTCCATAACAGTTGGAAAACTTATGCCACATAATGATTCACCACAATATGACAAACTTATTACTTATGACACATCAAGTAGCCATTTCCCAACTTATGCCACATCATTACACAATAGCCGAGCATCAAGTAGCCATTTCTAAATTTTTTCACAGCAAGAGTCGCAGCAAGAGTCATAACAGCAAGTCACAAGCATTTTCAAATCTTCCCCAAACCAACAAATTTGTTATTTTGAACAATTCATTATACAACTACTTATATAACACCTACAGTTTGATATTTACATTTGTAACCTTTTGATATTCAGAATCAATATTTGCAGAGACACATTTTTGCCTTTGAGAAATAAGTAGAGGTAGTATATATGGGAACACTGAAGCTCATTTTTGAGATATAAGAATACATGAGAGCCGAATGATCTATGCCTGTTAAACAAATATCCAAGTTCAATTTTACGGTCATAAATCTAAACATTATAACGAAGAAACCACTAAATCAGATTTACATACACATAAATCTAAATGTGTTGAACTAACTTAATTCAAAAGCCCTAATTATATAATAAAAATCTAAATAAATCTAAATAAATCTAACATTATAATGAAAAAATGAAAAAACCACTAAAAACCACTAAATCTAAATAAATCTTCTACAAGCCGTTAGATCACTAAAAAATCTAAATAAATCTAAAAGAAATTTAAGAAAGTTTAATACAAGAGGCATACCTGAAGATAAGTATGAAATATTACTGGAAAAATACTCAAAGTTAACACTTAGGTCTCCAAACAAACAGCCGTGCAAGACTATCGAACAAACAAGCAAGAATACCAATCAATCAAGCCAACATCGAGAAGAAGAAGTAGAGATTAGATAGAAGAGCATAGACGACAAGCCCTAAGCTGTCGCGGCCGTCAGAGGAGTATAGTTGCAACTCGGAAGAGGGAGAGGGAGAGGACGCCGAACGAATGAGAGAAGTTTCGAGAGACGAATGACGGAATGAGAAGTGAGAACCGATTAGGGTTTTTTCCCTATATATTAAATAATATTGAAATATTATTAATAATAAATTATTATATATTATAATTTATAGGAATTGATTTAATAAAATGTGAAAATATATTTAGTTAGAAAAATTAAATTAATTATAATTTATAATATTTAATTTTATGAATATTTATTATGTATATGTATTTATTTATTTATTTTCGAGCCAATTCGAGCCGAACATGAGCGAATAAACTTTTGTTCGTGTTCGGCTCGTTTACATTTCGAGCTTAAAAATTTGTTCGTGTTCGACTTGTTAAGCTTAACGAATGAGCCGAACACGAGCTGTTTGGGAACAACGGGCCAAATTGACAGCCTTAGTCATTCCATAGGGTATAATATCACTAATAAGAAAGTTCACAATGTCGGCATACCACGAAACACGCCGCTCATTAATGTTGAACAGTTTTTCATCTAGAAAATATTCATTAATTTCTTTTTCAAAACAGAGTGGTTTTTCTAACTCAAGCCTGGACAAATGATCAGCAATTTGATTTTTGGTTCCCTTCCGATCTAGTATTATAAAATCAAACTTTTGCAAAAGAAGAATTCATCTTATAAGTCTAGGTTTAACATCCTTCTTCTTCATTAAGTACTTAATAGCAGAATGATCTGTATGCACTACGCAATGAGTCCCAATTAAATATGATCTAAATTTATCAAAGGCATATAATATTGCTAATAACTCTTTTTCAGTTGTTGTATAATTAATTTGAGTTTCATTAAGAGTTTTACTAGCATAGTAAATTACTTTGAAAATTTT